GTCTTGATGCCCAATTTGTTGACTACATCTAATTTTTTTGAAAACCAGCTTACATCTTTTTTTAAAGTGACCTATACCTGATATCTGCATTTACACTATACTGTACACTTGGAGAAACATCCCAAGATAGACATAAAGGCTTACACCAGAAAGGATGTGAAAATGGCTCAATTTGCAATGGATGCAGACAATACATGCTTCTGCTTGCTCAAAGGCTCAAAAGACATAAAACTTCAGCATGAGTCTACTGGGTTGAGCCTTTGTCCTCCATTGAAAAGAGCGGTTGGTGTCCACCTGAGTTGACGTCATTGCCACCACGCCACCGTTGCTTTTTCAGCGACGTACAACTCGCATTGACAGGGAAATATCTCATCTGTCCTCTTACATGGCAGACACAAATCTATAACCGATATATATCTGATTTATTTCCACATATAAATGAGGCCTGAAACCATTCTGAGATATTGGTATTAATGTGTTTTTTTCCTGCTTACACATTTGTGGGTCATATCTACACTCTTAAAAATAAAGGTGCTTCACGATGCCATAGAAGAACCTTTTTGTCTAAATGGTTTCATAAAGAACCTTTAACATCTGAAGAACCTTTCTGTTTCACAAAAGGTTCTTTGTGGCGAAAGAAGGTTCTTCAGATTATAAAAAGATAAGAAAGAGATGGCTCTTTAAAGAACCTTTGACTGAATGGTTCTTTGTGGAACCAAAAATGGTTCTTCTATGGCATCGCTTGAAGAACCTTTTGAAGCACCTTTATTTTTAAGAGTGTAATCTGAGCCACATGGGAGGGAAAAATATGAATTTGGTCACTTGAACCATATAATTTAAATACAGCCTTAGTTTGCCCGACCACTAGAGGTTGTCAACAACAGCTGATACATCGACCTAAAACAGGGGTGTCAAATCCCGTTCCTGGAGAGGCACCCTTAAGCAGAATTTAGATCTGTAGCTGCCATTAAACACACCTGAACCAGATGATCAAGGTCTCTTTCAGAGCTTACTAGACTTGTATGTTTGTATGAATTCTTACGATGTGATTTGTATAAAAACGTATGATAATGGGGCATAAGCAGACCGTGGGAAAATGTGGATTTTACAAATCCATATGAATTTGTCACTAATTTACCAAAATATAAAAAATAAAATAAATAATAATAATAAATCGTCATGAAACTGTTGGTGTTCTTAATTCTAATCAAACAACGAAATAAAAACAGAAAATCACTAACTGCTCTTGATTGAATAACTTTTGTGTATATTTAATTCATAGACTATGCAGTGTTTTATTTTACATTTGATTAATTATTCAATTTCTTTCTTGAACAATGCTGCTCACTAGGTTAATGACATGGCTTTTTTATTATTATTAAGTTTCTTGAGGTTCATTTATTTATTAGGTCTTTGAGAATTGTAAAATTCCGCAGTATATCATAATGATATATATTATTTATCGTTATTGTGATAGAAGATTCATGTATCTATGCACTGATATCATCACAACTGGGACATTTCTTCACCATGCACAGACATCCTCTGGCTTGCCCAGACTGCACAAACCACACCCAGCCATCACAAACCCTGCCAGAGAGGTCAAAGCATGAATTATCTATAGAGATCAGATATCGGTGAAAGCCAAGAACAGTACAGAGAAGAGTTAATGTTGGGGGGGTGGGGGAGGCGCGGATTAATGCACAGGCTTGCCTAGGCTACAGCCTAGGGGCCCCACGTGTGCAGGGGCCCCTGATTGGCCAGAATATTTTTTTATTATTTTAAATTTACTTCAGCGCGAACAAAAAAGACCCTCATTGGCCCATAAGAAACATTAAAGGAGGAATCATTGCAGAGAGTCTGACAAAATGAATGTCTTGTATTGTAGAATGCACGCACTGCACTGCCGAGAGTTCGCGCCAATCGTTAAATAGAAACCGAAGGTAAAATGCGCGCGCGCATTCAAGCGATTTTAATACTCCGCGTTTTGAGAGCGACTCCCTCACGCGCCAAATTAGGCTACATACAATATCTAGGCTGTTATTAGTCTGTAGCAAGCGGCAACCTCCCGCTCTCTTTCGTGAAGCCAACAAGGAAGTGACTTAAACTGTAATTCATCAACTGGCCGCTAGAGGCTGGCTGCAAAAGGGAGTCAATCCGATAGACTCCCCATGTTAAAATGCCCAACTTTACAGCCGAAAAAAACATGTTTACAGCCTGGTTCAAAAAATGATTTTAGTCTATATAGCTAATTTTGCCCTTCATGACAACTGTGAGGGCGTTGAATTTTTTTATAACTCATCCGTTTAAATTATATTAAGCCTTAAAGTTCTGCATAATTAAGGGCGTGGCCACTTGAGTGACAGGTGGATTGCCGCTGCTGTCACCACCATCGAGCTAGGTGGGCGTGGTTTCAACAACCAGCTCCCGCCTCTTTGCCCATCTTCGATTAACCGGGAGTGACGCGCAGTGACGCACTGCAAAAATGCATAGCCTCCGCCCACTTTTAAGCTTCAAAAACTCTCTTTGGAACCCTACGGGTGACATCACGGACACTACGTCCATGTTTTTATACAATATATGGTCTGTAGGCTATAATAGGTTGTGTAGTTGTCTATAGTATAGCTCTGTATCATGCTTGAAAAATTTGTTCTCTATTTGCACTTTGGATATTGAGAGAGTATACTTTGATTATGGCTGCACTTATTGTTTGCACTTAATATACGACTAAGAAATAACTGTGTTGTTTATTTTTTGTTATTTATACTGTTTTTATTTCTGTTCAATTTGTGAAAAGGAGTTCAGTTAGGAGGTCAAACGTTCTAGAAGCTCATAATTCATGTACAGTTCTAAGGTCTGAAGAAACTCACATGAAATCATACAGGAGAGAAGCCAGTCACTTGAGTTTGTGGCAAAACCTTTTAAAGTGCTTGAGTGTTGTTGTCTTTTACTGCATATGATAATTCATACTCAGAAAGTAAAACTGAAATGACATGTATTACAAGATAATTAGTTAAAACAATTCAAAATGCACCTGCACCATACAAAATGAGTGCAAGACCAGTCCAGTCATGTATTTGGTCATTGAGAATTTTTTTTTAAATAATGTGTAAAAATCTTGCCTCGTCTCGTTCTCGTGAACCCAATCTCGTGTCTCGTCTCATCTCTTGAGTTAAGTGTCGGCATTAATGATAATTAAACAACAAAAGACGAGGAGAAAATCACATGACAGAATAGCATTTGTAGCTTTTATAAGCATTTATATAGTGAAAATCGTGCCCTACCATCACATTCAGATCTACGCAACCAATAAATAAATTACTAGCACAAAATTGTTTACAAGAGCACGTATTTCTTCATTGATCCAGTCACTTGATTCTGCTCTCAAAATGCACCAGATTTATGCATTTAAATTTAAAAAGCATATGATTAAGGGAGGGGGGGGCTCACACAAAGAGCAGCCTAGGGGCCCCTGACCACCTTAATCCGCCCCTGGGTGGGGGGCATGGATCTTTTTATCCAGTATGTTCTGAACCACAGCAAACAAAACTGCAGGACTTTACTAACTAGTATCAGTTAAGCTTAACTAACTGGATAATCATATTAGAAAAAAGTGTCTAATCCCCTTCTTATCATTAAAGCCACGTGAGAGAGAAAGCAAAGATCAGCATGGTCGTTATTTGCATCATACAGGCTAGACTAAAAGTTATCTATAAGTAGGCTAACCTGAATTATGCAAGAGCTCATGGATCATTAATGATTATGAGAGATCATTATTGGCCTCACAGTTTTGGCCACATCAGTATTAGTCTCTCTGTAGCGAGGGAGTGTCACATTACCTAAAGACCATCATTACCTGTGTCTGACCTTCAAGCTTTCAAAACACCACAAAAGTGTTCACATCTGCTTGCAATGCTCTTATCACACAGACAAGAAGGTTGCATTGGAAAAAAGCTGAAAAAACATTAATTGTTCTTGTTGTTGTTCTTTGGAACAATCAATAGACATAGCTATCATGGAAAATCCTTCAGAAAATGCCTTAAATTTCATGCACCCACTTAATCAGGGAAAAATTAAGCATAAAATATAGAATAAGACATCAAAAAGTTTAATAAGAAATAACCTTGCAAAGAGAGTTATACATCTCAAATCTAAAGTTTGCAGCACCCAACTAAAAAAGGGATGGATAATTAAATTAAAATATACTAAGACAAAGTGGAATTGCCAGACATGTGATAAGATGATGGATAGATGGATACTCTGTTAGACTAGGATGGTCATTCTACAACTGTGGTCACATTTCCACCTGATTTGTGTGTATATATATATATATATATATATATATTCATTTTTATATTTTTCCCAATTGAATAATTATTAACTTTAATTTTCATTAATGGCTGTCACAATATTTTTTTAAGTGATTTACATGGTGTTCTTTTAGAACACAACATTTTGATTAACAACCTATCACAAATAACAGAACTAGAGTAACTGAAAATACAAAATTATTATTTCAAAAGTATTTCATTCAAAACGTTTATATGTCGATTGTTAAATAATGTTTTACACATTTCACTTTTTACTTATTCCATTTAGTCAAATACACTATATTTCACAAAAAAATTTAAGTTTTAACCTGCAAAATGTTCTTTACTGCATCATGAGGGAAAAAAAAAAAAGCTTATTTACAATGTCTTCATAAGTGACTTTCAATAATTAAATGAAAACTAAATAAAAACAAGATTATTATTGTAAAATTAAATTAAACGCGTCTGTGTGTTCAAACGCGAGTTTACATTTTAGTTTTTCCATATTAATATAAGTGACAGCATCTGCCACTGCTAGTGCAGAATGACCCAGGATTGTAAACAAAGACAAAAGCACATCAACTCAGATGATCAAACCACTACGAGCAAACTATAGTACTAACATAGATTAACGTAACTTAACAAGAACAACAGAAAAATGTTGAAAAACGCAGTCAGAAGGAAACCCACACCTTATCTGAACGGCCGCCTGTACGACTTCATCCGATTGAAGGCGAATATAGCTGGGCGTGGAAATCCACCACAGGAGTCAAGCCCGTTTACTGCCACTGTTAAAGCTTCCACCTGATCCGACTCTTAGTCGATACAGTTGTCCGTGCATATGAAGACTAGCTCTGCTCTTCACATTCTATGTTATTGTGAAGGTATGTCCTGCCGGCATGAGAGCGTGTTGTGTGAAAACAGCTGACACTGACGTCAGCATTCCTCATACTGCGGGTATACCCGGAAATGGGCGTTGCTTAGCAGCGCGGGACGTTCTTTCTGATTTGGGCCTGTCCCTATCATAAGAAGATGCCGCATTAGGCTGCAAGTACGCGCCCCCATCTGGCAACGATCAGCAAGGTAGTTGGTGGGGAAACAGAGCCTCTAGAAACTCCGAATCAATTAAACCAAGTGCTTCGCAAAATGATTCACTACATCTAAGCGCTGGAAACACCGAACCCTGGCGACACTAGTGCTGTAAACACCGCACTCTGGTGGTCAAAAAGGTGTAAATGCAACTGTAGCACGGTCTACAAATGTATAATGGCACCTTTTACAAACTAATTCATGTTTTCACAAACTTGTAATCTATTATGTTAACTAAAAACTATTAAATATAAAGCGTCTGTGCATAATGTGTTCTTTTATTAATTTAGTGCTGGTTTTATGTTGGCTAGCTATTTTTAGGGAGAGCTTGGCTAATCAGGCCAGTAAGAGTCATTTACTGTAGTTCACTCTTTATTATGCACATTGTTAAAACTAGCAGACAAAAGCCGTGTGAAATTTTCAAAGAAAATATATCGTTCCAGCGTTTATACGTTTATTTTGCTGAGAACTTCTTCGGCTTGGGAGTGGGCCCGGGGGAAATATTCTTTCACGTGGCACGAATTGCCGGAATCGAAAGGAAGCCTATTTGGCGGAACAGATGATGAAATATAATTTGGTGTTTTGCCCACCACTCCACTGGATCCAAAACAGATACTATTATACTCCAACATGTGCATCAGCTGTGGCACTGTGGACTCTTTGTATCTCATCTGTTTTATAGTACATGAGCAACTATTATTTTTTACATTTACATTCATACATTGAGTAGACACTCTTCTCTTTATCTCCTGTCCTCTTGTTGAAGTGTTTAGGTTGATTCTGGTTTTAGCGGTGTAGATGTGGCATGGATCTGTGCTCTGCATTCAGAAAATGTCCATTCCTTGACTGCAGCATCAGCACTGGTTTTACGGCCAAAAGCTAAAGTCTTAAATCTAGGATCCACAAGTGTCACCTTGTCTCTTTATGGACTTGACAGCTCAGGATTAAATATTAAATTTGAAAAGCTGTTAAGTCTTTCATCTGCTGTTGATGGCTTTCTCACTATTTTTATGAAATATTAAATTTCTGTGATTTACATGTAATTCCAAATTATTTTTTCTTCAATTATACATTTTTTTTTTACAAATTATAATAATGTTTGGCTGTTTTTGTCCATTAATTACAATAAATACAATAAAATACCTGAAAATGGCTGTCCATCTACAGTCCCTATTCAACCTGACAGCTTCAGAGGACACAGAGAAGAATGACAGAAAATCCCCAAATCCATATGTGCAAAGCTTGTCACGTTAAAAAAAAAAAGAAAGAAAAAGTGACGTGACATGTGGCCAAGTATGGTGACCCGTACTCGGAATTAGTGCTCTGCATTTAACCCATCCAAAGTGCACACACACAGCAGTGAACACACACACCGTGAACACACACCCGGAGCAGTGGGCAGCCATTTATGCAGTGGCGCCCGGGGAGCGGTTGGGGGTTCAGTGCCTTGCTCAAGGGCACCTCAGTCGTGGTATTGAAGGTGGGAGAGAGCGCTGTACATTCACTCCCCCCACCTACAATCCCTGCGGTATGAGACTCGAACCCGCAACCTTTGGGTTACGAGTCCGACTCTCTAACCATTAGGCCACGACATCCCCACATATACCAAAAAAATACACATTTAATACCAATTATAGCCAAACAGTCTGTAATCGCCTCCAAAGGTGCCTCAAATAAGTATTGCGTTAAGAGTCTGAATAGTTATCACATGTTTTTTGCTTTGTCATTAGGGTTATGGAGTGTAGATTGATGTAATTAATCATTTTACCAAAGGCTGCAAAATGTGGGAGAAAAATGAAGGGGTCTAAATACTTTCTGAATGTTACATTCCGGCTCAGGGAAGCAACAAAATACAAAGGGTACTATGTCCAAATATCAGATATTTATTAACTTAGGAGTTCAAAAAAAGAAGCAAAAACAACATAAATGTATAAACAACAATAAAGAATTGCATAATTAACAGAATTCAACTTAAATTGAAAGAATAGCAAAAGGTCCAGCCCAGCTCATTGCAGGAACATTTCACAAAAGATCCAGGTCTCTTAAATATCCAGTTCGTGATTAATAACCAAGGTTGGGAGGGTTACTTTTAAAATGTATTCCGTTACAGTTACAAATTGCTTCATTAAAAAAGTATTCAGTAACGTAATCAAGTACCACAATATAAAAGTTATGTAATCTGATTACTTTTGAATTACTTCAAGTTACATATGTAAATAAGTCAAAAAAGCAATATCTAAGTACTTTTATTTAACTATGACTTTAAAATTAAAACTAATAAAAACTATAGTAAAAACTATTTGAAACTATTAAAAATTGTGTCTTGTTTCACCATCTAGATATTATTATTACAGTTTTACAGGTTTTTTTATTATTATTATTTTATTTCTTTAACATGTACAAGTAAAAATAAATATAGTTTATATACAACATTGAAAAATTTACACCATATACAGATTAGTCTATTTTAAAATAAGCCATGTCGAAATTCATGTGAAATGCTATTTTTCTGTATTTCATTGACTGATCCTGGGTGTGGGGACTCTCATATTCATTTCTACATTTTCAGGCTCATTTTCCGCTAGAAAACTTACAACTGCAGTCATGCACACCATGGAATTTTAAATCACTAACAAACACTATATACCTGCAAATATTCAAGTTGGTTAAGCAGCCTTTGTTAAAGCAAGAGTATGCATAGCTTACGCTGTACAACTATGTTATTTCCTTTATCCTCTTTGAAAACAAAATAACTGTGAAATTTCCAGACATGAAAACGTTTTTCCCAGCAGGAAGCATCGTAATTAATTCATCCCGCGTTTGAGGAGAATAATTGTAGACGGGTGTTATTTGCGCACGCACCAGCAGGCGGCTCACGTGAGTCAACATGTGTCAACAGAACCAGGAACTAGAGCCCTGCATTCCCACTTTTTACAAAAAAAAAACTTTTGTTGTGCCCCTAGGGCCGGGCTTCGGGCCGATTTTCACGTCATAGTTCAGACGCGGGCCGGGCCTCGGGCCTGTTTTAGGCTTCTCCTTATTTTTATATTTTAGACATCCATCAATTGGTGATGAAACAAAAATTGCTGCGCTGGCGGAAACCACACGAGACCGTGCTACCGCGACTGTCAAGAGCGGCTCGACGGTGTTTAGTGTCCAGCTGCAGCAGCATGAATGGTGCCTGCAGTCAGCGCAGCTGAACAGTTCTGCGTTCAAATGCACGCAATCAGCTAAAGCTTGCCGCAAAGCCCCAGCAAAAGTAATTACCATGAATGTGTCAGGGGGAAATAGTAAGGAGATATTTGAATTATTTACTAATAAACTAGTGTTTTCTGAGTCGGTGTCGCAAGGATGAAGATGACGATCCTGACTCGCCATCTCCTCATTAGACGTGCCTTTAGAGATTAGTGCATCTTTACGGATTATGATTATGATTATAATGAAAGAGTTGGATTATGATTATGAGTATAATTAAAGAGTTTTTGTTTTTGATTTGTTTTATTTCGTTAAGTAGTCATTTAAAGCTTTCTATAGATATATTTATCATGTCTGTGAGGCATCTCGCTGAGTTTCGGTTAATTTTTGTGAAGAAGGCTAAATTGATCAAACATATATGATCAGCTCACTGTCTGCCGCTGGCCGCTTGGTCGTTAATTTTAAAAACAAAAACTTGTAATGAACAAAAAAATGCTCCAAACGTTTTTCTAAATTAATTTGATAAAAAAATTAAACGAAATATAATCACTTTGCCTTTTCATGCAAAACTGAACTATTTTAATAGCTGAAACTATTTTATTATTTACTATTAAACTATTTTAGTAGCTGTTTTGCGAGAAGGGGGTAAAACGAGGGGCTCGGCCCGGTAATTCTGATAAGCTGTCGGAGCGGCCCGTGCAGGGCTACCAGGAACTATGATGAAGCAGCGCTAAATATATAGCGTTATGTCAAAATACTCATTTATTTCATTTTAAATTAAACAAATGTAATCCTGATAGCAGGTGCCCCCTCAGATTTTTGAGCCAAGTGGATTTTGAATGCAGCTTCCAAAAGGCAAAAAATATCCTATTGATATTTTCTATATTTAATACAATCACACCTGCGTGATTAAAGTTCAGTGCATCACATCATCAGCTGCTAAATTCAAATGTGATTTCGCTGGCTGACGCTGAGCCAGATACAGACGCGTTTTTAAATATAAACTCAGTCGTATTAAAAATATGTTATGGCATGACATCCATATCTGTTAATTAAGTAAACAGACAGGTTTTTATGCATAGATTACATTATTAGGTTACTTTGACCAATGCCCACTATAGATCAACATAATCTATAAAGGTGAGAGTCAAGATATTTCATGATATAGTTAATGCGTTTGAGGATGTTTCGAATAAAAAATAAAAAATAAATAAAACCTAAGTGCTGTCGTGGCTGCTGTGTGTCACATGACGACCCCCCCCGCCCAACTCGTGCCCCCTCAAAAATAATGAGTGCATGACGCCCCTGCCTGACAGTATTCCCACTTTTTACAAAATGTAACTGTAATCTGAATACTTTGTTTTTTGATGTAACTGTAACGGATTACAGTTACTAGATTTTTGTATCCTGATTACGTAACGCCGTTACATGTATTCTGTTACTTCCCAACCCTGTTAATAACAGGTGGATCTTTTTAACCTGTAAAAATAAACAACAACTGAACGAACCAAAACAAATCTAACCCGTAACAACTCTTGAACAGCAGATGTCGCCAACATGCAATGTTTTGAGTGCTTCGAAAGAGTGAATCATTTTGTGAACCGTTTCGATCAATTGATTCATAATTCAAAAGCTGGAAGTAAGCGTCCG